ACTACCACTGTCGTTTAGTCTATGTTAAACTATCGGAGTTAGCACTACCACTGTCATTTAGTCTATGTTAAACTGTGGGAGTTAACACTACCACTGTCGTTTTGTCTATGTTAAACTATGGGAGTTAACACTACCACTGTCGTTTAGTCTATGTTAAACTATGGGAGTTAGCACTACCACTGTCGTTTAATCTATGTTAAACTATGGGAGTTAACACTACCACTGTGGTTTTGTCTATGTTAAACTATGGGAGTTAGCACTACCACTGTCGTTTAGTCTTTGTTAAACTATCGGAGTTAGCACTACCACTGTCGTTTAGTCTATGTTAAACTATGGGAGTTAGCACTACCACTGTCCTTTAATCTATGTTAAACTATGGGAGTTAACACTACCACTGTGGTTTTGTCTATGTTAAACTATGGGAGTTAGCACTACCACTGTCGTTTAGTCTTTGTTAAACTATCGGAGTTAGCACTACCACTGTCGTTTAGTCTTTGTTAAACTATGGGAGTTAGCACTACCACTGTCGATTAGTCTATGTTAAACTATGGGAGTTAGCGCTACCACTGTCGTTCAGTCTATGTTAAACTATCGGAGTTAGCACTGCAAAGCTTTATGAAATGCTATCGAGATCTTTCAGAACGTCAATACAGAATGGAGTAGATGAGGGGCGTGGTCGACACTCATTCTCACTAAGGAGGTACATTTGATGCCCCACTCCAACGTAGGAAAAAGATGATATCATATATCAACTACTTAAATGTTTCTCATAGATTATATAAATACAGATGTCGTCTGAACACAATAATACTGCGTTCAGTACATCACAATAGCTAACTGATGAGAACCTCTTTTACACGAAAAATGATACCTGCCCCTTTAATACACTTGGCCTCTTTTTAAAAGGTTCATACGGAAATATTTTTCACTTAAACATTATACTGCACTGCTTAAGAATATGTGTCTGATGTCTTGAATTTTGTTTTGATCTGTAAAATATTGATGGCACTTCGCCTGGAAAGACTGTCACCAATGTCTGGAAAAATACGTTACGATAGTAATAATGGTGCCATTTATACTGCGCATATTTCCACACAGGGGAATGCTCAAAGCGCTATTATTATCCCTGTTACTGGATCTGTGTGCACTAAGGAATCATTCTCAGCTCCCTGGGGAGTATACAACAGCTGCCTGTTAGGCGCTAGAAGATTAACAACCACATTGCCGCCTCATCCTACCGGGTACCCATTCATTGCTGGGTGAACAGGGTCACATTTCGAACAAAGTCACCGAAGCCCTAGAAACTCTCATGTGCCAAGCTGCCGAAACGCGGTCACCCATCCAAGGTTGGTTGGTTGATCGGTTTGTTGTTTTATGCCGCACTCAGCAATATTCCAGCTATATGACGGCGGTCTGTAAATACGACTGGACCAGACAATCCAGTGATTGATAGCATGAGCATCGATCCACGCAATTGGGATCGATGACGCATCAACCATGTCAGCGAGCCTGACCACCCGATCCCGTTAGTCGCCTCTTACCACAAGCATAGTCTCCTTTTACGGCAAGCATTGGTTGCTGAAGACCTATTCTACCCCGGGTCTTCACGGGTACACCCATCCAAGGACTCTCCGCGACAGACTTTGTTGAACTTCACCTGATTGCGCTGTGCTCATGACCACCGTAGTAAACATGCATCGTCGTTTGGATAAAACATTATCTTTGACAGGCGGGTTTAATGTGTCGTAATTTCCCTGTCAATGATCCAAGTTTTGGACTTTGTGATGACTTCGGCTCTTCGATTCTTTTGTTGAATATTTTGTGAATCTATTCGTGTACAGTAAACTACGGTTATAACGAATTCGAAGGGGCCACTATATACCTCTATATACAGCTAATCAGCTAATCAGTTCATTGAGCAAATGGCCGGGACAAAAGCAGTTCGTCATATCCGCCTGTTCGTTATAAGCGTGTTCGTTATAAACGTAGTTTATTGTACGTGTATTAGAATTGTAACATACCAGACACATATGTTGCCCAGTGATTAATGTGAATTATTAATTACATGGCTTGTAAATCAACTGGTATCAATCATCTCTTAATTGGTTTATTGTAACGCCATTTTAGGACATCGTTACCATTAACAATACATACGTTAACGACACATTTACGTTACGACTGATAAGGTGTGCATAGATACAATTGACATCATTTGCAAGATAGGGCGTTTGCTGCCTACGGGCAAGTAAGGGAAATTCTTCAAGTTTCAGCAGGGAGACAAGGAGGCTGTGGAGATGGCTGGGCGCGATACGTTACGAACATCTCATTCATACGTTACAACATCCGGTTGTTTGGTTAGTTGGTTGGTTGCGTGGTTTGTTGTTTAATGCTGCACTCAGCGAAATTCCAGCTATATGATGGGGGTCTGTAAATAATCGAGTCTGGACCAGACTATCCAGTGATTAATATCATGAGCATCGATCGATGACATGCTTCAACCAAATCAGCGTGCCTGACCATCCGATCCCGTAGGTCGCCTCTTACGACAAGCATGGGTTGCTGAAGACCTATTCCACCCCGAATCTTCACGGGTCAAAACATCCGGAATTACATAATATGGTGTGACTCTAATATTGAGTGAGTTAGGTTTAACGCCGCTTTATATCGCGGCGTGTCAGCTTTATGTGGGAGGAAAGCCCCAAGTGATGCAGGTCTCAGACTTTTACCGCTTCGGTGAAACCCACGAGCACGGGTATGGTGCTGACAAACCTAGAAACATAATCGGGCGAACCAGGATTCGAACCCACAATCATAGATTTCTGGTGTGCCCAAGGGACGCAACTCTGCACAGCGAATCGCGGCGCCTTAGACGACTGGACCACCCGTGTCCCCTCCATGTGATTAGAGGGAAGGAAATGTGAATGTATGTTGTTGTAGTTGTGAATAGATTGGTGACAGTTTTCTCCATGATTTTTAGTTGGTAATTCAGATGTTAAGGGTTTTTTTGCATTATTTATATATATACTAGTATATACTCCATAATATCTAGCTCGTGACATTCGTTTGCATGATAGTATATCTTATATTTTTATTGGTATTATTATTACGGGTAATAACTTCTTTATGATATATACACATAGTAACAAAGCTACTTTTTGCCCCTTTAAAGCTGAATAACCTGATTGGGAACATGACATATTACACATATACAAATGTAGCCAGTTACAATTCAGTGCATATTTGTGAAACCACTTATGACCACATTAAGCAGGAACTGCTGGACTTGCCAGCTGTTATAGGGAATGGGTACAAGGTGATGTTTTATACAATTTGTTTTGTTGTTTTACGCCGCACTCAGCAATATTCCAGCTATATGACGGCGGTCTGTAAATACTCGAGTGTGGACCGGACAATCCGGTGATTGACAACATGAGCATCGTTCCACGCAATTAGGATCGATGACATGTATTAACCAAGTTAGCGTATCTTTTTTATACAATAAGTTAAAGGAGTTGATCAGTTTGATATGTCAATTTCACAATCTAAACTGAAAGTACAGTAAACTACGGTTATAACGAACTCAAAGGGACCACTAATTTTAGTTCGTTATAACCGTAGTTCGTTATAAGCATATATACAGCATAACTACAGCAAATAGTCGGGACAAAAAAGTAAGTTCGTAATAAGAGTGTTCGTTATAAACGTTGTTTACTGTATAATCTTTATCAGTCACTTCATAAGGGGTGAAACACACTGATATTGAAATATTGATCAAAACAGAATGTTTACAAAGCATGATGTCCTGTAACAATATGGATCAAAATAAGCACACTGTTCACTTCTGAAAATACTAAAACATTATATTGATAATGAGTATCATCCATCTTGTCAATATGTAAATGGTAAGGTACATACGTTATCAAAGACATATGTATATGTTCCTAACCAAACAAATTGTTTCGTTAATGTCAGACATTTGTTTTTGTTTTTTTGGTTTTTGTGTGTGTGTAATAAATCACCACAACTTTGTTTCCTATTCATAGTTCTTGCTGTTTAATTATGTGTTGTTATATTGCAAAATAGTAACGGAACTTTTCGTTAATGAAGTAATCAATACAAATTTACGATTTTGAAAATGTGGACATATACTCAATTGAAATATTCAAAGTTTTAAAACCTGAAAATGATTTAAAAGTTAACGGCGCCATTTGAACAGCGTAAGCTTTTTTCATTATTTAATCTAAGGAAACGTTGGTATTTCCCAAGAACAATAGTTTTGTTGTTGATCTTCGGAACACTGCTTTACATCTGAAACACAAATGATACTTCTAAAATTTACAAACCAACAACCTATTTAAATTAAGTCACAACACAATTTTAAATTTTCATATATGGACACTTCAGTTGAGGAACGTTTATTTTGAAGAGTAGGGTAAAAGCAAACGGCCCGCGATCGCGATTACGATCGGTGCGAATATGTCGAACGGTCGTGATAGAGGGAGGTTCCTTCCGAGCAATAGAGTATATGTATAGGGTTGCGATTGTAGGGACATTTGCTTTAGCAAGTACAAAAAATGACAAAAATCAATTCAATAACAGAACACCCCACCATCGTGATCCGGGCGCGAACACCTCGCGCAGCGTCCGCGATCTAACAAAAATGTAAGTGAGTGAGTGAGTTAGGTTTAACGCAGCTTTTAACAGTATTCCAGGTATATCACGGCGTGTCAGCTTTATGTGGGAGGAAAGCCCGAAGTGATGCAGGTCTCAGACGTTTACCACTTCGGTGAAACCCACGAGCACGGGTATGGTGCTGACAAACCTAGAACCATAATCGGGGCGAACCGGGATTCGAACCCACAATCATAGGTTTCTGGCGGGCCTAAGGGCGCAACTCTGCACAGCGAATCGCGGCGCCTTAGACGACTGGACCACCCCTGCCCCCAACAAAAATGTAAAAGTGTTGAATGTTTCTGTTGTTTTCGGTTGCAGCGCTGGCTCTGTAACGTGCTTATGGCACTACAGTGGTACTCAGTTCTGGCGACGTTTTCCTGGATGTTGGTTGAAGGCATATTTCTACACAACCGACTTGTCGTATACGTCTTCAGATCGGATGCTCCATTCAAACTCTTCTACTTCATCGGATGGGGTAAGCCATTTTCAAACTCGCCTCTCATACAATTGAGGTAAATATCTCGAAGTTTGTTTGTTTGTTTGTTGTTTAACGCCGCACTCAGCGATATTCCAGCTATATGACGGAGGTATCTCGAAGTAATCGGGAATTGCGACTGTGGAAGAAATGGCTCTCGTATATTCTGCGAAATAATCCCGATTATTTATCATTTCCATGTCTAATCACCTTTTTTGGCTAGAGTTAGCGAGTGGTTAGGGGTGAGAGTCTCGCCTAAGACCCGCCCAATACAGAATGTTTTGTTTGTTTGTTGTTTATCGCCGCACTCAGCAATATTCCACCTACGTGACGGGGTCTTAAATAATCGAGTCTTGACCAGACAATCCAGTGATTGACATCATGAGCATCAATCCACGCAACTGGGATACGATGACATGCATCAACCAATTCGGCGAGCCAGACCACCCGATCCCATTAGTCGCCTCTTACGACAAGCATAGTTGCCTTTTACGGCAAGCATTGGTTGCTGAAGACCTATACTACCCCGAATCTTCACAAGCCCAGTTCAAAATGAATATGGTATTAGGTGTCAGCAAAGTTGTAAGTTCGTCCCTTCTTCCCCCCGACACAATAATGAGATAACTAACATATATATCTCCAATTTTTCAAGGCCCAACACTTTCATTCATTAAACGGGTACCTTAACAGTGAATAAGTTAGGTTCAACGCCGATTTGAACAGTATTCAAGTTATATCACAGTTATAGACAGCTGACTAAGGGAGGAATGCCTATATTGATGCAGGCTCAGGATTAACTCAAGTTTGGTGAGCATGGATATAGTGCTGACAGACCAAGGATCATAATTGTGGCGATTCTGCGATTCGAACTCACAATCCGCGGATCCTGGTACGGCTAGTCGACGCAACTATGCTCAGCAACTACTGACGTTTTAGAACACTGGATTATCCCAATGCCCCTCGTGCAGAATAGTGAAAGTTAAGGTTAAACGCTTTCTAGTACGGTCATCGTTCTCGTTGTCTTTAGCCTTCGTCCCTTGTCCGGCACTTAGCACTGACCTTACCTACAGCGTATTCCCGTTATATGTGCTACAAGTACCCCTTGTCTCCAACAATGTAGATATTTTATGTTCAAAATCTCGAAATGCCCGCCGAACATTTGTGAAGAATCTTCATGCCAAACTCATCTGGTACAAAACATTGGCCATATTGTTTTAAGATGGTTGAGGGGCGTTCATAACATCCTTCTTTAAAATGGAATACGGTTGTTTTTAAAACACGAAGTGGTTGTCACGGGAGTTGTCTAATATAGGGCGTGGAAAATCAATTGAATTGGTGGATGATCATAACATCTAACTTACAATGATGTTACAGTTTGAAAACAGTTTCCAATTTTCAACGAGTACAGACTTTAGCTTCTGGTATATTGATGATCTGATGTCGTTCAATAACCATCAAATGACCAATTCCCTTCCACTGATTTACCCACCTGAACTAGAAATAAAGGAGACCAGAGACACCGCCTCATCTGTTTGATATTTAGAGTGAGTGAGTGAGTTGGGTTTAACGCCGCTTTTAACAGTATTCCAGTTATATCACGGCGTGTCAGCTCAATGTGGGAGGAAAGCCCGAAGTGATGCAGGTCTCAGACGTTTACCACTTCGGTGAAACCCACGAGCACGGGTATGGTGCTGACAAACCTAGAAACATAATCGGGGCGAACCGGGATTCGAACCCACAATCATAGGTTTCTGGCGTGCCCAAGGGACGCAACTCTGCACAGCGAATCGCGGCGCCTCAGACGACTGGGCCACCCGTGCCCCCTGATATTTAGATTTCAGCATAAAGATTCAGAGTGACACAGCACTCTCCACAAGACTGTTTGAAACGATGTATGACTTCAACTTTATAATACTCAACTTTCCCTTTATGCCGATCAATATTCCAGCAGCTCCAACCTATGGTGTCTTGTTTCACAACTTTTGAGGTACAATCGAGCATGCTCTTTCTTCGAAGATTGAAAAGAGCATCATACTACTTTTGCTCAAAAGTCATACAATCGAATGCTTTGACATCGACAGATTTTCTTCTGAATATCGAAAGGTTCTGTCTCTTATATTCAAATTAGAAGGAAATGAGGATTAGACAAGCAATCCGTGGTTTCTGGTTACGTGGTTATAGGACGTTCATGTTCGTGAGTGAATGAGTGAGTGAGTTGGGTTAAACGCCGCTTTTAACAGTATTCCAGTTATATCACGGCGTGTCAGCTTAATGTGGGAGGAAAGCCCGAAGTGATGCAGGTCTCAGACGTTTACCACTTCGGTGAAACCTACGAGCACGGGTATGGTGCTGACAAACCTAGAAACATAATCGGGCGAACCGGGATTCCAACCCACAATCATAGGTTTCTGGCGTGCCCAAGGGACGCAACTCTGCACAGCGAATCGCGGCGCCTTAGACGACTGGGCCACCCACGCCCCTCATGTTCGTATTGACGAACAACTATAGTTCTATTTTTTTTGCGAATATTCAATAGAAACATAACGATGATTTTCTGATAGAATTTCACACGAATCAAAACTGAATTTGAATGTTGTAGATGCATTTTCCCAGTCATGGATGGCTATTTAAATGCGAAGACTACTGTGCCAAAGCATGCTAGCGATTCTCAACACACGGTCGGTCTTCTTAAGCGGCACAATGCTACACCTATGTCACAAGACACTATGGTGTAATTTGAAAACAAAAGCTGCAGCAAACCCACGCGAAATATTGTTCAGTGACATCGATCTTGCGACAAGGTTGCAGGGAGCATTTGTCCTCAAACATCGTCTCTACAAGCTCAGCGATTGAGTTGTAACCATCATAGTTTTCAATAACTAATTACAAAAACCTGCCTGCAGGGAGGTACCTTTTCACAAGTAGCAGTTCAATACATTCGTTTTGTCTTCAAACCGCCTCATCTGTTTCATACTTAGATCTATGCATCAAGCTTCAGAGTGATTAAACAGTACCCACACGTCTGTATGCAAGAGGGATGACTTCAACTTTCCCATTATGACAGGCAATATTACAGTAGCTCCCAGCCTTTGGTGTCTACATTTCACAACTCTTCAAGTACAATCGAGCGTTACCTTCTGCAAAGGTTCAAAGAGAACTATACCATTACAGTCATCAAGGCCTTGGTAAAACTTTCAAAAAGTATTATGGTAAGCATGTGGACAAGCGTGAGGCTTCCTTGAAAAAGTGATGTATAATTATATATTATATTTTATGTCTTATTGTCGATTCGGCAACTATTGTTTCTTTACACATACCCCTTCATAAAAAACATGGGCAACAACCAAAACAACAACAACAACCCCACACACAAAAATTATTTAAAAAAATTTAATAACAAAAAACAACAACCCGAATTAAATAAAAATCCAAATATATCTAAGTCTATCAATAAATAAAATAAGCGTTAATACAATACAAAAATTAAAGTAGACAAACAAACAAAGAATAACTACACAATAAAAATATACAGCAGCACCCCCAAATATAAATATTGTATCAAAGCAAAAGCCAGTACTCTTACTCACAAATGACAATTATTTCAGTATTACAAATATTAAAAAATATTCTATTCCAATTTATTGGCTTAATTTGGAGTAGTTGCTTTGATGGGCCCAGTAGTGGCGTTTTCGTCTGATATACAAGTCCCTTATCCTAAAGTACAAAACACTTCCTTCTTTGTATCTGAGACCTTGACCACTGAATAGATTGCACTCATATCTGTATGCTTCACCTCAACACTGACACAGTGACACCACCACCAAGTCTTGGATGACACATGTCTGTCACAGACACCACACTGGTCCATCATTTGTTCTTGAAGCTGAAACCGACTCTTCTTCTAAGAATCTGCCATTGATTTTGTGTTCCCTCTCTGAATGCACTTCCCCTTATCATTACCGAACCGTCCCATGTCACATCACCGGTAACTCACTACACAACACTCTAATATCCTGATCTACTTTCCTCTTACAGAGATTTTAAATTGTGGTTCTACCCAACCAGCAGTACATCCGCTTTCAGTGTGTCCACCATGCCATCTCAAGACGTACATGTATGTCAAATGGCAACCACAAGCTTGTGTGAAATAGCTTTTTGACGAGATGAAGCAGTTTCGTCTCACCCTTAATACTCTTTTAAGTATGCGACTTGCAACATACCATGTAATCAAATTGGGTCGAATGGGAAGTAAGATTCATTGAATTATTCGGCCCTGCGTAATCTCATTCAACTAAGCACGTCTCATGACATAGATTCCACATGCTGGTGGCATTTACGTGTAATTTCCCTCAACTATGCTGGATGTAATACATTTTATACATCTCGCGCGGCAGTAGCTGTAAGATGTCCACACGGGGCGACGGGGCTGAAGAACCTTTCATATGAGATATGGTTTTCATTAAGGGAAATGTGATTGAACTCCGGTTTGTAATCCTCGATTTCCTTTTCACTAGACTCTGCACACTCTGCTGTGTGCCACGTCTCTCAGAACTCGATAAATACAGACTTAGGACATTTATGACTTAGTCGCATAAGTACATTTATTAATTCATTTGAGGACGACAGAGGCGCAATATTAACTAAATAGGATTCAGTACTTTGTCAGAACGGTGCATTTGCTGTAATCGTCGTTTTTCATTAAAACTTTTAGGCTGAGTGAATTGTTTTTTACGCCGCTTTAACAATCATCTGCTTTATGGGGTGAGGTGAGGTGAGGTGAAATGGGGTTTAACGTCGCGTCCAAGATTATTGCACTTATATAGCGACGTGATGCAAGTGTGTGTGTGGCTGTTTGTACTAGTTCGGACTGATGCCGATTTATAGTGCTAGCACACTGAGATACCATGCCGCAGTTTAACATGAATACCCCACTCAGACACAGTATACTGACTCCGAGCCGACCAGTCCTTGTTCTAGCCCCTTAATGCCGATCGCCAGACAGGTTAACAACAAGAACCATCTTTTAACGTCTTTTGGTATGACGCGGTCGGGGATCGAACCCCGGACCTTCCGCTCTCCCGGCGGACGCTCTACCACTAGACCACGGAGGCGGCCTCTGTTTTATGACGGCTGGAGGACACTACATATGCGTCATACAGTGTACCCATGTGAAGAATCAAACCCGGATGGAATAGCCAGCACGTAATCCTCTAGCCTACCCTGCCGCCCTCCTCAAGATGATTTACACCTTGAACTCTTGAGACCTCATAAACACGTAAAGTAAATACTGACCAATAAAAAACTTTCAGAAGAAATAATCAGACTTTCTACAACAAGGCAGCTTGTCTAAGAGTGAGAGAGTTGTGTTTAACGCCGCTTTTAACAGTTTTCCAGTTATATCACGGCTTGTCAGCTTAATGTGGGAGGAAAGCCCGAAGTAATGCAGGTCTCAGACGTTTACCACTTCGGTGAAACCCACGAGCACGAGTATGGTGTTGACAAACCTAGAAACATAATCGGGGCGAACCGGGATTCGAACCCACAATCATAGGTTTCTGGCGTGCCCAAGGGACGCAACTCTGCACAGCGAATAGCGGCGCCTTAGACGACTGGGCCCCCTGTGCCCCCTGCTTGCCTAAGAGGTGACGGGTATCTTAAAACTGTATATAGAAAGTTTTATCGTGTAAGAATTTGACTCAACTGCTATTTAATCTGGATAGCGAATCGGCTATTTCGAGCATGTTCCGTTTGCAGTACGAAGTCTTCCTGTAACCTGAAGTACCATTCTAAAAACGTATATTCTATCAGGTATAAGCCCTAAACAAGGCTGTCGAAGCATCTTGAGAAAAACGGTTATAATGTATCCTGTCTACTTTCGACAATGTTTCCAACACACGTCGAATAAAACCGGTAACGAAGTATCGGCCATTATCCTCTTTTTAACACTCCGATATGTCGATTATCGATCTTGTCTCTGTAATGGTTCTTCTTACTGGCTAATTCAAACTTATTGCAGTAATTGATTGATAGTGTGTAATGATTTTCCAACTGATGCGTGAAAATAATTTGTTAGAGTGTTGATCGCGACAATAACCTGGAGTTATCGCCCCGCTAGTTTAACCTGTTATGGCTAGGTGCGCTGAAGAGGCTACTTACGCTTTCTGGCTGTGTCTCGTCCATTTAGTGAAGATTCAGCGACCTTTGGAAACGGATATCCAATTTTCAGACCCGTCTTTTCGAGTTGATTTGTTTAGTACATTAAGCGGCATTACTACAAGCGGAACACGGTGCAGACAGCGATGCGATGAAAGGGACGAGCGCATGCATAGTTTGATTAATTATGCTACATTGCTGGTCTTCTGGCTTTGACTTCAAGATTACTCGACTTATATAGTGAAGCGCAAGTTTTGAAACCTCGTGGCCAAAATAGCAGGAGACGCTTAACTTTTTGACTAGATTTATACACCAAGGTGGCACACAGTGCACGCTGCAGACAGTAGTATTATAGTTGCATCGCGGTTATATTGTAAAATATAATAGTTCTGTTATATGCAGGCCTTATTACATAAACGATTTTGTTATGTTTTATACAAACCATGTCGTGTAGGTGCGGGCGTGCGGGCGTGTGTGCGTGTATGTTTCTGCTTGTATAGGTATTTTATGGTGCTAGCCCACTGAGATACCATCCCGCTATTTGACATGGATACCCCACTGAGACACAGCAAACTGACTCCGACCCGGCCAGGGCTTGTTTCACCCCTACCAGGCAGTAAAAGTCGACCGGTCCTTCTTTTAGCCCCCTAATGCCGAGCGCCAGGGTAACAACAAGTACCATTCTTAACATCTCATTATATTGATTCCGATCCGACCAGTCCTCGTTTACTCCCATTAATGACGAGCGCAAGGCAGGGTAGTCATGATCACAAGTTCCATCTTTTAACGTATTTTGGTATGACGCGGCTAGGCAGTCGAACCGACCATCCGCTCTCCGGGCAGGCGCACTCTCCACAGACCAGAGAGGCGGTGAGAGTTGCAGCATTACAGGTTAAAACAAGCGACAAAGCTTTTTCCATAATCATAAGAAATTCCTGCTGAAAGTAGACAGAGTCTTTGTACGATTCCGACCATGTGAGAGCATGTCTCCATGGATGTGTCAAACAGTGATGATACCAGGTGTTCGCGAAAAGGTGAGCATATCCTGCCCCACCAGTGGCACCCGTCACAAACACATGCAAAGGCAACTCAAGTGTTCACCTGAAGAATCTTGGAAATGGAGAAATGGCGTCCACGTGTCTACCATAAAAATGTTTTAAAAAGCTTCACTAAGGCCTTGAATGTTGTAACCCTGATCCAAAAACTTTTGAGCAAGAGTCGTATGCCAAAGAAAGAAAGAGGATGCTCGATTGTGTCTCAACAGTTGTGAAATGTAAACACCAAAGGCTGAAGCTGGAATATTGATCGACATAAATTGAAAGTTGACAATTGGAAAGTTGAAGTCATCCCCCTTGTCATACAGTTTTGTTGAGTGTGTTTTGTCACTCTGAATCTTCATACATAGATCGGGGCGGTCAGGTAGCCTAGTGGTTAAAGCGTTCGCTCGTCACGCTGAAGACCCGGGTTCATGTCCCGACATGGGTACAATGTGTGAAGCCCATTTCCGGTGTCCCCTGCCGTGATATTGCTGGAATATTGCTTAAAGCGGCGTAAAACCATACTCACTCACTCACTCATACATAGATCTAAATATAAAAGAGATGAGGCGGTTTCACTGGTGATATATATCAGTGGAAGGGAATTGGCTCTTTGTCCCATATTGAACGATATCAAATAATCGATTTACCTGAAGCTTAAGTTAAACTGTTTGGCCATATTCCCTTGTTTTGAACTTGCCAATCCGCACAGAAATTCTGACTCGTATGAAACAAGAAACACATCAGTAAGGAGGGAGCACAACTGGTGTCCATGGCGATACCGACTTCTTCACTGAACGTTCTATCCCCAATTGTTTATGTCAGGAAACTTCAGAATTTTTTTACTTTGATTAACGATTCTACTTTCGTTTTCTGACTGTCCTGATCATATTCACACCGCGTGGATCAAAGGAATGAAGTTTTCCTTTAACGTCGCGTGGCCTTGTGATGTAAAATACTGAAAAATCAAATGGTTTGTCATAATTGAAGTTGGTTCGTTTCTGACATTGCAAAAACAACAGGCAAATCCTTTGCGCTTTGAGAATCACCATGGTGTTTATACCATGTGTCTCAACTAGTTGAATATAAAGAAAGTTCTTCCTTGGTTGTATTGAGAATTATGGATAATCGTTAAAACGTGGGATGTGCTGGTACATTAGCTGTACCCCTAATGCATCTCTCTTCGAGCATTTGGAGCTTTGTAATCCAGTACAAAAGAAGAATGGACATGTCTTTAGGTGTTAGTGATTCGTAGTTTTGGCAGATATATACTGACCATGCGGAAATTGTAAAATGCGAAAATGACAATAACAAAATCAGTGACGTGAATCTGAAGCCATATTATGCTTTTCATAGTTTTCTTACTGATGTGTTTTATCATACGACCCGTGAAGATCAGGGGTAGAATAGATCTTCAGCAACCCATGCTTGCTGTAAAAGGCGACTATGCTTGTCGTAAGAGGCGACTAACGGGATTCGGTGGCCAGGCTCGCTGACTTTGTTGATGCATGTCATCGTATCCCAATTACGTGGATCGATGCTCATGATGTCAAACACTGGATCGTCTGGCCCGATTATTTACAGACCGCCGTCATATAGCTGGAATATTGCTGAGAGCGGCGTTAAACAACAAACAGTCAAACAGTGTTATCATACTGTTGTCTCCTCGCCAGGGATTCCTGCCATAATAACCATCACATGGGCTGTGGTAACTCATTACTTCAATGGAGACAAATGCTGGAACGCATCCTCGAATTCTCCCTTCATCTTCATCATATTCGCTCCAATACTTCTGGCTCTTGTGGTGAGTAAACTCGATTTTTGATTTTCTATGTTTATCCTTCTTTGCGATGTCTGTAAGTGATAAACTTATTCGTCACATATGCTTTACCGTACATCTCAATACATTGTTATCTCGGCCAGAATTGGGAAGAATCCATATTGGAATTAGATTTACAACTAAAATTTGTCTCGTTCAAGTGACCAATACATTACACAACACAATATGGCGACAGTCGTTAACCAAATATGAATGCTATAACTTATACCTTACATTCATTAACCATACAAAACAAATGTTTTCCTCAAAATTGACCGTCATGTCGTCGAACTATTTGCGGAGGGATCGGTCGGTATGTGTTTTTAAAGGGAAATCATGAAGTATCACTACTCCGGGGCTTGTCGAGGTATTCTGAAGGTAACGGAATAAGCCGAGTGGATCCGAATGACAGAATGCATTAATCCTAAGGAAAGCCCTTAAACGATCTCTCAAGTTCGCCTTCAACTGCTCAACCAATAAATCAACCCATGGATAGATTAACCAATAAGTCTATCGTTTGATCGATCAATCAACCAACTAACCAACCAACCAACCAACCAACAAATAAATCGTTCGTTCGTTCGTTCGTTCGTTCGTTCGTTCGTGCGTTCGTTCGTTCGTTCGTTCGTTCGTTCGTTCGTTCAATCGTTCGTTCGTTCGTTTGTTCGTGCGTGCGTGCGTGCGTGCTTGCGTGCGTGCGTGCGTGTGTGCGTGCGTACGTGTGTTCGTTCGTACGTTCGTTAGTTCGTTTGTTCGTTCGTTCGAATTATCAATCAATCTTCTCATTGACCACAACCCGCACCGCTACACGGTCATATTTTTCTGCATATTGCTGTTAGCTATCATAATATTAAAGGGTTAGGACCGAGTGCTGTAACCTAAAATACCATCAATTATGGTTGTGTTCTTCGACTCGGTTCTGTAATTTGCTATCGTGCCAAGAACTCGATTTCATCCCGAATCAACAACAAAATATTGAGGCAGAACATGCCATGATTGTGAAATAATATAGCGTTATTTAACCGTCAATTATTCCTATACTATCCAAACATTATCAAAACCAGTTATGTTTTCAATTTGACATTTTTTAATCTTCTAACAAATACTCAGAAGGAGGAAATTACTGCTTTGTCATTAGCAACTAGCGAAACTTCAAAATTACAAGCAAATCCGATCGTGTGTATGCTGCGTTTTGCGGTAAAGTAAATTGGCGTCGATTATGTTCCAGATAGCTTATTAACGGCAGCACGATTGACATCAACAAGTACACATAACTATTTGCTCTAGTTTAGAAAAAAACACTTAATTATAGCACATCGTGTCGCTGAAGCGTTCAGAATGGGTATCTGTTGTTTAACGCCGCTTTGAATACTATCCCCGTTATGTCACGACGTGACAGATTAATGTGGGAGAAAAGCCAGATGTGATTCAGGTCTCAGAAACAAATGACGATAAATTATATTGTTTGTTTTTTCAGACCTCAAGATGACCTTAATCTGTATAAATTCTGAAGTTTTCTAAAAATGTCTTAAACCTCGCAGAGGCTAATTAAATTTTAACTTTCTCCTCAAACGTTTTAGGAAAACACTTGAGACAGATTATTGTGTTCTTTTCTTGTTGTAACAGGCTGAAAGGAAATCAATCTGTTGACGAATCTGTACAATCTAAAATGCCGGTCGGTTTTTCGTTTCAGATCAATCTTGCTTTCTTGATCAACATTATTCGAGTGTTGATAACAAAGTTACGGGCGCACAACACTATAGAATCCAGACGGATAAGGTTAGTCATCATCATTTTTGTTGTTGTTGTTGTTGTTGTTGTTGTTGTTGTTGTTGTTGTAACGGGGCGGTCGGGTAGCCTAGTGGTTAAAGCGTTCGCTCGTCACGCCGAAGACCCGGGTTCGATTCCCGACATGGGTAAAATGTGTGAAGCCCATTTCTGGTTTCCCCCGCCGTGATATTGCTGGAATATTGCTAAAAGCGGCGTAAAATCAAACTCACTCACTCACTCACTGTTGTTGTAACAGTTTAACTCCTCGAGACTGCTCTAGACAAACCAATGGTTGCTATTATGAGCAGCCGCCAACGCTGTTGGGAAACGTCACACGCAATCAACCACGTCACAGAGTTTGTCCACCCAATCCATAAATTACCGCTTACAAAAAGCTTTGTTAGGGCAAACGCGAGTTGATCTGCACAATTACAAATTATTTACTTTTATCCTCGCGTTTTGGTATATTTGGGCTTGGAAAACACTAAGGCGAGATCCTATTTATCATCAAAAATCATTCTTCCAACTTTTTCTATTTGTAAACAGTAATAACCAGTGTCTTGAGTGTACGGTTTCAGTGGCAGGGATTAGTGATGTCATTTGATTGTGACGACATGGTACCGATGGCGTCACAGTGGTCTGCAAAATATTGTTCTGCAATTTCATAGACGCGATGCCAAGATACAACTGTGCTATGACGTCATAATGACGTTTGACGTCAACTTACTTCAGTGAAGAGCGCCATGTTTGATGTTTCTTACACATCTGTAAGTGAGAAACCCATTTAAGATAACTAGTATCAAACATATGTATGAGATCGATTTCCAAGCCCACGATTGGCTACTCCATGGTGATGACCGGCTGTGTCAGAAACAGATTACTGCACTCGTGTCTGTGAGATACCATTTATCTTACAACTCGTTGTTCCAAAGCGTATTTAACTCGCTTTCGCTCGTTAGATACATTTTGAAACAACTCGTTGAAAGACTATTGGAATCTGACAGACACTCGTGTAGTAATATCCACACCTCTGTAATAATATGAATTGACCCTTGTGAATTGCATTTCTGTCATCCGAAGATACTGTAGTTTAAAAAATAATGAAAAGTCAAAATGGGATATTTCACCCATAAGATCCCTTTAGTTATCTCACGGTTGGTCACATGTAGCTAGCATATCCCTTGTGACACCAATCTTTTAGTGTATTTTTTAAACAAGTAAAGTTTGGTTTTCAATATTGTAGTTTATGTATGGAATCAAGTCACAAAAACGCAACTGCCACAGAAAAGCATGCATTCCATGCAAAAGTTGACTTTTATGCAAGCCCCATGCATTTCACTACCCAGGAATGGGTATAAAAACATGTATGTTAACGGGATTCCATAGGCATTCTTTAGCATCGTGCTGACAACAACCACTCAGAAAAACAACAAAATTACGCAATTATTCAACATTACGAAATGCCACGCCTGTCCGAAAATGAGCGTCTTTGCATTAAATCTTGTCGAAGGAACTTTTGTTGTTCAGTATATTTAGACAGGCTGATGTGCTTGCACAGGGCAGGATTAATATCAATAATATAAAGTTAACAAGATAACGAGGCGACCAATATAAAAGGTTATTTTTGCTACGTTGCTCCCAGCAAGAGGCTAAAAAGTTGAATTGATATTCAGAAACGACGTCGGTCAATACCTCCATAAATGTCATCTGTTACTTGATATATACAAGACAAAATTGCGCCAAATAGATCAATACAACAAACTATAGGTTACGTATTAGTAATACAATCTTGATATTTCATCATTTATAACAATCCGTCTCAAGTGAATGAACTAAATCCCAGTGAAATTCGATTGACACGAATGAGTGAAATAAGTGCCCGCCAGTCACTCAAAGCATGTTTGATCTTTAGAAACAGAGCATTGACCGGTATCCGGTGGGATCATTGATTACAGAAATACATTGACAAAACCAGCATCAAATCAATAGCAGCCAATGGTCTGTTTATCAGAAGAGGGAGGAAATCCTTCTACAACAGAGGAAAGCACTCTGTTGTCAAATAAGGATGTTTTCACAAGTCTTCTTAATTGAACGGACCCTTCTACGAGGTTGCGAATGTAAGATGTAAAACCAGTCTTAATGCAACTTGCGATGTGATGTTTCCTAATCTGTCATAAGAGTATCAGAGTGTGTGAAAGGGCCATGCTGCTGCATGATAGCTATTTTCATTCTTTTTATAAATTCATTAAGAGATTCATTGGAAGCCAGGTGTATGCATGGTTAATGATGGCTTTAAAAGTCAATGATCCCATCAACAGGGTGAAAACTCGCATTTTTATGTTGCGTCATGAACGAAAAAAGAAATGATTGGAAATATTTTTTAGGATTTTATATTACAAATGGATTTTGTAGGTTTATTTAAAATAAATGTATTCGTCACTTCGAAGTGAGCCTGCGCAGATCGTTTTGCTGCTGAGTGTCAGAAACGCGTCACAAAGTTCAAAAAAAACGCTGTGTAGGAAAATGGGAACCACTTATGTCAAAATCTTTCTTTTGTGTTTTCCTGACGTATTAATTATTTTATTTCTACGTGTGTGTTAATAAAAACGACATAATCGCTGCTAAAAACATACTTGATTGCACGATTTCGACAAAATCTTGGGAATAGTGTTGATACCAGATGTTTGGTATCTGGCCCCACCGTTGGCACCGTCAAGAAGCGCATTTCAATGTAATCAGAAAGGATTGTAGTTGATGGGTTGAATTAATAACTAGTCCCAATATAATGGTATACCTTATTTGTTCTTAAGTCAAATATACAACCTTTTAGATACACAGACGAAACGTACGAATGTACTATTTAAAGGAAGGCATCGAACGATACTCATAGTCTAAATAGGCCTAAATTACGTCACAATGGAATTACTTTTCTGCACACAACAATGTTATAAGTACCCGTTTGAATTTTTGTGTACGACAGCATGAAAACGTGAGTCTCGCTGTGGGATTAAGCAACGCTTGAAATGAGCGTTTGATGACTACGTTGGGAGGCAGTGCTTGGAACTGGACTAAATAAGATATGTATGTGAGCGAGTGAGTATTTCCTTTATATTGCGTCGTGTCAGCTTAATGTGAGAGGAAAGCAGGTCTCAGACGTTTACCACTTTGGTGAAACCCACAAGCACTTGTATGGTGCTGACCAACCTAAAAACATAATCTGGGTGATCCGGAATTCGAACCCAAATTGTGTTGGTACGTTGTAGGCTTTCAGGAAATGCGGGACGACTTTGGAATGGTCAGTGGTCCAAACTTAACAATATAGAAGGTTTTGGTTTTGGTTTGGTTTGTTGTTTAACGCCGCACTCAGCAATATTCCAGCTATATGACAGCGGTCTGTAAATAATCGAGTTTGGACCAGACAATCCAGTGGTTGACATCATGAGCATCGATCCACGCAATTGGGATACGATGACATGCATCAACAAAGTCAGCGAGCCTGACGATACCGTCTGTCGCCTCTTACGACAAGCAGTTGCCTTTAACAGCAAGCATGGGTTGCTGAAGACCTTTTCTACTCCGGATCTTCACGGGTCCAACACAGAAGGCACCGAGCTACATTAACATACTTGTACAGCTATGGATGCTAATGAATGTCCCAATATATATACATGGCCATTTTCACACAGAAGGGAATAAATGTAGATGAAGATTGCTAACAAATCCTTTCCAGCACTCAACTCACTTGGCTTGAAAAGCCCGATCTCATAGGAAAAACAATACGTTTTTCATACTTGTATTTTTTAATTTATTGATTTTCGGTTTTCCATTTTTGATGAAACTCGATTTCTTCTGTGTGGTCACGTTCAGCTTGCCGGGAACTTCATAACCATGCATATAGGCTTTGTCCATACCCAATGCCGATATGCATACTATTAGATAAGATGTGAATGTTTGCTGGCGGTTCTGATCAAAGAACGTGCACGTTCAGCAAGCCACTTGCGGCATGTTAAAAGTGCACTATCAGTCGACGCTAAATTCTTGCACAAATTGGAGTTATTCTGAACTGTAGTCCTATTTCTTGTTAAATATTATTCGTAGGAGATCTGACGGCGAATGGTGGTGAATAACAGGCATGATTGATGCAGGAATGTCCTTCAAAACTGTTGGTCGTCAGCTCGGTAACCATTTGGCTATAAGCAGATTGTCATAGAAACATGCATAGTCCTAGGACTGTCCGAGGCCTGGATGGCCTCGGGTTTCGTCAGCAGGCAAAGATTGCGACCTGTCCGCTTGGTTAGGCGACAACCATTTGCCACAAACACCTGTCTGAAGGAGAACTGGGTGTGCAACATACAACTGTCATCACAGACATTGAGAAATCGACTGAAATCAGTTGGAGATCAAGGAGGGTGATGAAGTATCCTATCTTGTGAGTTCGTCATCGCAGGGACCGTTTTGGTTGGTTGGCTGGTTGGTTTGTTGTTTAATGCCGCACTCTGCAATATTCCAGCTATATGACGGCAGTCTGTAAATAATCGAGTCTGGACCAGACAATCCAGTGATTAATATCATGAGCATCGATTCACGCATTTGAGATCGATGACATGTACATGTATCAACCAAGTCAGCGAGCCTGAACACCCGATCCCGTTAGTCGCCTTTTACGACAAGCATAGTCGCCTTTTACGGCAAGTATGGGTTGCTGAAGACCTATTCTACCCCGGAATCTTCACGGGTCGGGGCCGTTTTGGCATGGTAGACGTTGGTGGAAGTTGGTGCTAGTTGTGTATCACAGACGGGAGTATGCGGGTCTAGCAGACAGAAACACGGCAAACAGGCCAATCGGGGACAGGAACAGGCGTCGGATCCGATCGTTGTACACATTTGATTACCACCCTCCACCAAACCCGTCTTCGTGGAAGAAAATTCGAGACCACACCATTCTTGTCAGGTTCCTTCAGTAGACGACCAATAACACCATTTCAGGTCTTTGAGCCACTGATTTGGGACCAGAGCACATGTTCACATGCAATACTCATGGCCAAATTAGCAGGGGGCGCTTATTGTTTTTCTACGTTTATGAAGTCGTACACGCAATCTTGCACTTAAAGAGCGACGCACAAAATAACAGAGGACGCTTAACATTTATATACCAGGTGTATACACCAAGCCGTGAGAGAGTCTGTTGTGTGTTTGTGTGTCCAAGTGTGTGTGAGTGTGTGTCGTGTGAGTGCGTGCGTGCGTGCGTGCGTGCGTGCGTGCGTTCGTGTGTGTGGTGCGAGCATGTGTGTGTGTGTGTGTGTGTGTGTGTGTGTGTGTGTGTGTGTGTGTGTGTGTGTGTGTGTGTGTGTGTGTGTGTGTGTGTGTCCAGTGAATGATATTATGAGCAGCAATCCACGTCGTCGGCCAAGTCAACGAAACGTCACCGCCCGATTTCTTTCATCGTCTTTTTAGACCAGCTAGGGACCAATACTAACCCCAAAGGGTTTACGAATGTGCACACTTCCTTTGAGAGTAATCTAAGATAAAACCCAATTTCTTTATTCATGAAAGGAAGCCGAAGAAGCCATCAAGGTGGTTTAGAGACTCGGGAAAATGCAAATCGAAACGGCTTGCACCAATGCCTGTGTGTAAAGAACTAATTTAGTCTTAATCACTTTCTACTTTTACGGACTTAATCTCATCAGCGATACGAGACGTTTATCCAGCAAATAATATTAACATCCCCCGCCCCTCCCTAAAACAAACCCATTAAATATAGATTTAACACAACTTTTTTCAATTCCACAAAATGTCCACATGTCTGTATATTTATGTGATTATAACGTCAATTAACACATGAATGCATAATTCATTCTAATACAATAAACTCATTTAATGAGTTAATAATATTAATGTTTCAGGCCAAATACATCAATAAATAAAAAATAAAAAAACCTTTTCATATCAATAAGAATTATCTGCCAAGAGCAGAGTCCATTGCAGAATTCCGACTCTATCATGATTATGTCTTCATGAATCACTATCAGATAGTGATAATACCATGAAATGATGAGTGTATCCTGCCCTGCCTGTGGCATCCTTCACAAACACACGCAAAGGCAAGTCAATTGTCCACCTGAAAAAAACCACGAGAAAATATGGTACAGGTCAAAATAAGGAATTGCATCTGACATCATTTTTGCCACTGATGCGTCAAATGTGAAACTGTCCTCCACATGTCTACCATAAATCTTTACTGAGGCCTTGAATGGTGTAACCTTGACCAAACAACCTTTAAGCAGGAAGCGTATGCCGCAGAATAAACCCAGATGTATGGCAGCTGTTTGTCCACTTTATTAATGATCTTGAAAATCTAAATTCTAACAAGATGTGTGCCGCCTCCGTGGTCTTGTGGTAGAGCGTCCGCCCGGAGAGCGGAAGGTCCGGGGTTCGATCCCCGGCCGCGTCATACCAAAAGACGTTAAAAGATGGTACTTGTTGTTACCTTGTCTGGCGCTCGACATTAAGGGGCTAAAACAAGGACTGGTCGGCTCGGAGTCAGTATACTGTGTCTGAGTGGGGGATTCATGTTAAACTGCGGCATGGTATCTCAGTGAGCTAGCACTATAAATCGGCATCAGTCCGGACTAGTACAAGCAGCCACAGACACACACGTGCATGCACGTCGCTATATAAGTGCAATAATCTTGGACGCGACGTTAAACCCAATTTCACCTCACCTAACAAGATGTATATTTTCTTTCAGAAAAGCCATCAAAGCAACAGTTGTGCTGTTCCCACTGTTAGGGATAACCAACTGTTTGTTTCTCGCTAAACCATCAGATGACAAGAGTGTGTTGATGGCGGTATATAGGGTAACCAACGCCATTCTACCAGCATGTCAGGTTAGTGATAAAGATTTGGATTTGAACTAATATCTGTTTTAATGATTTTTTAAATGCCTGGGCCCGTGTCCACGAAGCGATCTTAGCTGTAGTCGTGACACTAAGATCGCTTATGCGACGGCCTTTGTCCCACAAAGCAAGCGACCACAGCCCTTCGCTAAGACTCCATTTTAACGCCGCACCATGTCGAAACGCTGAGATTGGAGCGGATTTACATAGTGACTACTGTGAGTTGGGTTTCACGCGTTGAACAGTATTTCAGTTATATCAGCGTCTGAATATACCCTGGGATCAAAACCCTAAATGTTTCAGGTCTTTTGACGTTTACTTAAACCACTGATCATGATTGCTCAAACGTCAGCCATTTTGGAAAGCGATACATGATTATCTCCCTTTCTGTGTAGCATAAGTAGCGAGCCCTATTTGATCAAAGTGAGTGAGTTTTAACGTCAGATCTGCAATATTTCAGCGATATCGCGACGAGCTATTTAATTAAAACAATATGATATGATATGATATGATATGATATGAGTGAGTGAGTGAGTGAGTGAGTGAGTGAGTGAGTGAGTGAGTGAGTGAGTGAGTGAGTTGTGTTTAACGCGGCTTTTAACAGTATTCCAGTTATATCGCAGCGTGTCAGCTTAATGTGGGAGGAAAGCCTGAAGTGATGCAGGTCTCAGACGTTTACCACTTCGGTGAAACCCACGAGCACAGGTATGATGCTGACAAACCTAGAAACATAATCGGGGCGAACCGGGATTCGAACCCACAATCATAGGTTTCTGGCGTGCCCAAGGGACGTAACTCTGCACAGCGAATAGCGGCGCCTTAGACGACTGGGCCACCCGTGCCCCCTTGATATGATATGATATGATATGATATCGCTCGAGGTATGATATCCATACTTGGTCATATCCTGAGAGTGCAATGAAGTTGAGCACACAATTCACAGATGTTTTTTGGCTGCTAATGCTTAGAACAATATGTAACGATAATACGTTTTATTGATGAGGAACTGATAACATGTTTTATATTTAACACATAGATATTGTATTTTGCAGGGAATCTTTGTGACGGTTTTATACTGCTTTATGAATACGGAGGTAAGAATATGCTACTTCATAAAAAACCCATATATTTAAGTACCCCGAAATTGAACTAGTATTTGAAATAATATCCTTTATGCTCCATTCTTTTTTTCAATTCGTGTATGAATGACGTGGTCCGTTCACTGGGAGCATCCCACCAAAGGACGTTAAAATATTATACTTGTTGTTACCCTGCCTGTGCTCTGCATTAAGGGACTAAAACAAGGACTGGTCGGCTCGGAGTCAGTATACTGTGTTTGAGTGGGGTTTCCATGTTAAACTGCGGCATGGTATGACAGTGGGCTAACATTTATAAAAGGACATACGTCCCGACGAGTACAAGCAGCCACACACACGTGCATACACACTTTTAAACACCATTCCACATACCCTCATAGGCCTACAGGCTTTCTACAATACTTCTTCTGATCTTCCATAATTCCGGTTATGTGCCACGATTACAATAAATTAAAGACGCCTGAGTATCATATTGTATCACCTCAATATTAAACTTAACATGTTTTTTTAAGGATGTTTTTCTTGGCTCATTCAACACTCCACATTACATGTTTATACCAGAAGTATGGAAGAACAGTTATTTCACATATTTAAAACATTCGATTTCATGTCTGTCGTAAAATTGAATATTTTGCCTAAAGTGGCGTAAAGGTTTACGCAATCAGATAATAATTAATAATCATTGACCCAGATTGACAACAAAAAACATAGATATTTATGTATATATTGTTAAAATAAATCTTTAAAATGCTTTACCGGTTTAAAACAGTTATGGGATCGATGTTTCTTTTATCAGTGATCCATTCATATAATTGTCACGCTATTTGGCCTTTCACGCCAAATAGAATCTCTTTCAGTGGATAATCGAGACTGGATATGCTCTGGCCTTGACGTTTTATATTATAACCTGTTCCAGGTTCAGAGTGTCATAAGGAAGAAGTGGAACCGGTTTCGGATCAACAGGGCTATGAATTCCAGGACGAGGCGGCGAAGTTCAAGGACGTCATCCTTCTTCTTGTCCCAAAGCGAGGTAGTCTTCATGGTTTCGTTTCGGAAGAAAAAAGTCTGGAGTAAGCGGTCACGCCCTCGTCCCTGTGATTACACAATTCCTGAAATTGACAACAGCATGCAATGCACGTGTTTATGCGATGACAAGGACTGTCAGGGATGCTCAGGGAACCCCAATTTTGATTAACAAAATTAACGTAAAGGCTGGTGCATGTGGGACAATCATTTTTTTGTAGAGTTTATGTTTTTTATTTTCACAAAGCCAGGATCGTGGCAGCAGGTGCCCTTGTTGCCTTTGAAGTGCATATCAAAGGAGAAGAGCCTTTTGTTCATCTGTTGTTAAAGTAGTTCCGGACCTGCGCAGTACCCTCTCCTGCTTCGTAGGCGGTAACCATGGTGAGTGCGTACAGCAATGTCAGAACCAGTTTGGGTCTCTAGCTATGGCTGCATGGGAAGTGTAGATGCCCTGCTTTGCATGGCTTTTGTAGGCGTTAAGTTACAAGCGACCGTCATCTCGAAACATTGTTTATCTCGAAATACACTTGTATCTTCTCCCGGTAATGGCATTTTTCTATTTCGAACCGTATTCTACCTCGACATATACCAACTGATGGCCATGTTTATGTTATTTTTTATTTTCAATTTTTGGATTTTCGAAGTCAACGAAGTTCATATTTTCCTCTTTTTTAAGTGTGGATATCTCGAAGTTCCCAATTTGGTTCCATTAATTTCGAGATAGCGGGCTCACTGTGCAAATATTGCACATGAACGTCACTGGTCTTTGTTTTGAGGTGAATTGTTTCTGAGCTTTTTGTCAACATTAATGACATCAACTATTTGTATTATTTTTTTTACAATGTGGATAACCTTTTTCAATACCCAAATGCATCATATGTGGTCTTTTTCGATTGTGTGGATTCAGATTTGTCTTGTATTGATTCTTCACGTTTTTTACGATCGACTTAATGCACTATTATTTAAGAAGTTCCAAAGCAAACACAGATGTTATCTTTTGTGCGATTTGTTCTAAGTGTATTACCTTATGTCTTGGTTGTCGGTGTTGCTTGAAGTACACAAGACGTATGTAGCCTTTGTTGCTCAACATCTATGGTTTGTTTCATGCTTTGATCTGTTTGAGAAATGACTCCACCATACTTCCTTCAAGTCCGTGTTATTGCTGATTACGTAAATATTCTAACCCCCGAGTGCTCTCTCTCATCTTGGTACTGATGCTAGTGATCCTAACGGGTGAGATGATGAAAAAACATTTGTCACTTAAGGGTAACGTTTGATGTTCTCATATTACACACACAACATTGAGGGTAACATACGTTCGGTGGTATTTAGCGATATAAATGTTGATAAGTACAGATGTAAATAAACGCATGGTATGTTAAAAAAGTATGTTATTTCCAACTAAAAATAGAATTAATGTTGAACTGATTATCAACTATCCATTTATATATATCTTAACCGCTGTTTTGCTTCTTTCGCAATAATTTATTGATTATATTTTAGTTGATGATGGAGATCGGTTATTTTCGTTTTTTTATACTTACAAACATATGTACAGACAGACCCATTAATAAGTCCATCGAAAATATATCGTGTAATCCCGTTTAAGACTCTAATGTCGATATAGACTATAATTCAAAACTCCTAGTATTGAGGTGTCAGTGTATATGTATATATAAGTTTTCCAACTGCTATATCTCAACTTATCGATATACAGAGTGAAGGATTTGCGGGTTCACTTCGACGTTATATATTTTGGCGTTCAGGACATGAAGAATACTTGATAACTGCATCATTATTATCTGTCAACATCATTGCTGTACTCGTGGTTTTACCAAAGTGTTAAACTTTGAGAGAAGGCGTGTGAAATATAGTGTCTAAAACGATGTTAAAACTCACTCACTCATTCACGCAGTTATGGTTAACGTTTGATCGACGTGTCCTGGCTTCTGTTAGTCTCTTCATCATCTGACTTAGAAGGTGATGTAGCAAAAATAAAGATCATCTTTTAAGTTTCCTGTCTTCAAATTTTAACAGATTCTAAAAAATCAGCACGATTACGTTTGTAGGTTTGTTAGGGTTAAACCCGTGTTTGTGGGTTTCATTAAAGTTGTAAACGTCTGAGACCTGAATCGCATTAGGTTTTCCCTCCACATTAAGCTGGCACGACGTGGTATAACTGGAATACTGTTCAAAGAGGCGCTAAATCCAACTCATTCACTCAATCGATGAAATTACCGTTATATATACTTAACGTGATATCAAAACTTTCAACATTTAAAGTTGTGACAGAGAGAAGAAGGGGTTTGATGACTCAAACATTCAGATATAATGACATAAGTAATAATGTAGGGTACTTATATTTCCCCACCCTCTACACACTCGGTGCGACCCGTGAAGATCCGGGGCAGAATAGGTCTTCAGCAACCAAAGCAAAGGCGACTATGCTTGTCGTAAGCTGCGACTAACGGGATCGGGTGGTCAGGCTCGCTGATTTGTTTGATACATGTCATCGTATCCCATTTCCGTGGATTGATCATGATATCGATCACTGGATTGTCTGGTCCAGATTCTATTATTTACAGACCGCTGTCATATAGCTGGAATATTGCTGAGTGGGCGTTAAACAACAAACCAAACCAAAACCAAAACCTTCTATATTGTTAAGTTTGGACCACTGGCCATTCCAAAGTTGTCCCGCATTTCCTGAAAGCCTACAACGTACCAACACAATTTGGGTTCGATTTCCGGATCACCCAGATTATGTTTTTAGTTTGGTCAGCACCATACCATCGGTGATTTACAGACCACCGTTATATAACGGGAATATTGCTGAGTGCGACTTTAAACAGCAAACAAACACGCTGTGCATGCTTAAAGTGCTAACATTATGACCCCGGTCATTCGATCAGTGAGTGCTTGATTTTCATTCTCACGCAGATATCACGCAGTGACGTGGAGAGGTTCTGCAATTTACCCACATCGTCTTATCAGTTTTCCTCAAATGTTCGAATGAGTTTATGTTCATGTTTTTGACCTAACTTTGGGAAATGACATGCGGGATATTGCCTTTCAATCCGGCATCATTTTTTTTGCTCTGATACAAAACATCCCTGACAAACAATTCTCAGCTTGTATTTGGTATTAAATACACTACTAACCCTCCCTACTGCTGCTTTGCATATATTGACCTCTTGCGATTTGCATACCTTGATCTATGGCTATTTGCATATCTTGACCATTGGGAATTTGCATATCTGGTCCTGTGACGATTTGCATTATCTTGACCCATGACGATTTGCATATATCTTGACTTATAGCAATTTGCATATCTGGACCAGTTAAGATTTGTATATCTTGCCATGTGACCATTTTAATTAAATTAAATGATTTAGTTTAATTAAATATACCTTCACTCATATTCATTAGATAGTTATATTTGATCTTTGCATCAATCAGTTTGCTACGCTGATTTGAATGTAAAATTTACACTTTATTGTAATATGATTGATTGTCCTTTATATCGTACAGAGATACGATATATATATATATATATATATATATATATATATATATATATATATATATATGTATATATATATATATATATATATAAACTAGTGTCCAAAAGAAACGATACCAACTTATTTTCAAAATTGTTTTTTACTAAGTGAATTGTCAAGTATGAAAACATACCAATTCGTATTGCACATCCCAAACACAGCATAGTCGATAAAAAATACCGGGAACACGTGATCACTTCCGGGAAAAAACGTAAATTTCGTGAAAGTGACATTTCCCTCTCTAGCATGTTCTGCACGTGCAGAAAAACTGTATAAAACGGCTGATCAGACACGTTGATATGAGAAACAAAAAGAACACACGTTTGACAGCCATCGAGAGAGAGAGAGCCGTTGGAATGGTCCAACAAGGAGCGTCACACGTCGACGTCGCCAGAAGGTTGGGCTGCGCACGCATCACTATCACCAGGTTGATGCAGCGGTTACGTCAGACAGGTCAGACGTCAGACAGGCCCAGGAGTGGAAGACCACGAGTAACCACGCCCCGTGAAGATCGTTACATCCGGGTATTACACCTGAGGAACCGCACCGTAACAGCGACGTGCACGGCGGCTACAGCACTGGGACACAGGATCAGTCGACAGACCGTCTACAGGAGACTACGGCATTATGGTATCCGGCCACGTCATCCCTACCGCGGACCGCTCCTGACGCATCGACACCGGAACAACAGACTGATCTGGGCCAGGCGAGTTCGACGTTGGCAACGGCGGGACTGGGCACGTGTTATGTTCTCTGATGAGAGCAGATTCCTCATCTTCAGAAACGATGGACGGCAGCTTGTATACCGACGATTTGGTGAACGTTTGGCGCCTAACTGTATCCAACAGGTCCGGCCGTTTGGAGGTGGAGGGTTAATGGTTTGGGGTGGCATATGTGGTGACGTCAAAACGATGCTTGTCGTAATTCGTGGAAACCTGACTGCACAGCGTTATCTTGATGACATCCTACGGCCTGTTGTGGTGCCCTTTATTCAGCAACAGCCTCGTGGACTCCTTTTCCAACATGACAATACAAGGCCACACACAGCAAGATTGACACAGAACTTCCTTGCTAACGCCAACGTACAGGTTTTGCCATGGCCCGCATGTTCACCGGACATGAATCCCATCGAGCACTTATGGGACCACCTCGATCGGCAAATCCGACGTCGCCGTGTGCCTCCAGTCAACGTCCAGGACTTGGAACGATGTCTCCTCGAGGAATGGCAACGCATCACTCCCAACGTCATCAGACGTGTGACGTCATCAGTCCGTAGGCGTGTTCTGGCATGTATTGATGCTCACGGTGGACATACCCGCTACTGACTTGACTTTGAGACGTGTGGTGTGACATTTCCCGTTGTTTCTGTGATCAGTGCTCTAACGAAATGTTCATTTTTCGACCCCACCCATCTTTAAAGGCTTGTCATATTGGTTGTACAGAT